TCAAGTCACCGAGTGTCTGGACAACAGTGAGCAGTTTGTCGGAGAGCCAATTGGTTGCTTCCTTACGTAATAGCCCAGGAAGGTGCATGATTATTTTTTAAAAACTGAACTGGTATTGTTGTTGTTTTTCTGTTGTTCTTTCCCCCCCGACCATTTTTATAACTGAACTGAACTGTTTTGGTTGGACTGACCTGTTGTTTGTCTAAACTGACCCATTGTTGGAGGAATCGATCGGCTGTTTGTCTATAGTGACCAGCTGTGGGGACAAGGAGGTCAGTTGGGGGTTGTCCTGACAGGGTATTTTGGCTCAATGGGCCGGTCTGGGGCCTGCAGTCAAACCAGCTGATAACAGGCCCAGCCGGGCGTGGCTCAGTGGTTGAGCGTAGACCTAAGATCCAGGCCATCAGGATTCAATTCCCAGTCAGGGCACATGCCCGGGTTGGGGGCTCGATCCCCATTCGGGGGCATGCGGGAGGCAGCCCATCAATGACTCTCTCATCATTGATGTTTCTATCTCTCTCTCCCTCTCCCTTCCTCTCTCTGAAATCAATAAAGATATATTTTTTAAAAAAACAAAACAGCTGATAACCAACCCCACCCTTTAACCTTACCACCAACACTGGCCTTTCCAGAAAGGTCCAGTCTCAAAGGTCCCAGCTATGAGAGGATGCACAGTAGAGCCATATGTTAAACATTGGGCTTCACATCAAGAAAGGAGAAAGCTCGACTGAGGACCTGGCAAACAACCTAGTGCCTGTCCCTCAGCCTTGCTGGGCAGCCCTGCCTGCCTAGCTGTCCACATGGCCTGCGCCCTCCAGTCACAGCTGGTGTCTGTTAGGGGGTTGTCAAGCCCCCAGCCCAGCCCCCTCACTTGCCTCTTTAACTCACTTCCTTTCATTGCTGCCTGGTCTATGGACTTTCAATGGGGCCACAGAAAGAGGGACCTCAGCCCCTCTGCCCCATTCACCCTGCCCACCCCCTCCTTGGCCTTTCAGGCTCCCGTGAAAGAGACTTATCCACAAATTGGGGATTTTCCATTGTCCCCTTTATAAAGGCTCTTCATTTCCCTCAGCCCCACCCCTCCCATCACTGTGATCAGCAGGGGTGGCCCCCAGGGGCTCTGATTTAACAGGACACAATATCCCCAACAGCCTTGCCTACAATTAGGGCTGGGGCCTCAGAAACTCCGGTTTGGCTTTGGAGCAGGAAGATTTCTCCTGCCTCCATCCCTTCCCCATTTTACAGATGGGGAAACTGAGTCACTTGAGACCCCTTGACACCCAGCTTGCCATCTTATTAATTCATCTCCACTCTGTTTCTTTTGGAATTGGGAAGGCAACTGTGTTTGTCATTTGTTTTAACCCAATATGCCGCTCCATTGAAAATGTGTACAAAAGCCGCAGTCAGTAGTTGAGCAAGTCTGGGTCGAGGTTTTGTTGTTTAGCATCTGAAATCAAAAGCTAGAGCCATGAAAACAGCAATTCTTGGTTGAACTGCCTCAAAAATAAATAGAAACACTGGCCTGACTAATTTGAAATTCAACTCCCAAAAAGGAAACAAAACCAAATTGTTCTTTTCCTGTTTCTAATATTTGTTCCCTCATTTAGATTATTTAATCCAACTTCCTATCTGTAGGTGGGCCGACTGGGGTCCAGAGAGGAGGTCTACTTGCCTAAAGGCACACAGCATCCCAGGGCTGGGCTGGTGTGCCCAGAGCCCACCACGGTCTGCCTCCTAGGCAGGCATTTCAGTTTCGGAAAAATCTCGGCTCCATCGAAATGGTGTTGCCAGGACCAGTGGGGCACTGCAATTTGGTTTGGGTGCTTTGCAGTTCGTAAACTAAATTGGCCTTTAACAAAAGATTTGAAATTGGTGAAAGGGATTGTCTACAAAGTTCCATCTATGGGGAGAATTGCACTGATTGATCTTCTAGAGTTTCTAACCTGAGCTGTTCCCTCCCTGGGAGTCTTGGGGTGCGTTAGGTGAACATGGGGCTAGACGATTCTGTGCTTGAGCTGAGCTGGAGAAAAGATCTTCTGAGGAAGACAGCCTCCTTTTTAAGCATCCACTGTCTTTATGGTGCTTGAATAAAAGGCAGGAGATTCCATTTTTGAATTGTTTATCTCTAGCTAGTCCTTGTACAGAGTTTGGGATGAATTCACTAGGAAATGAACATTTTCCGAAGGACTAGGGTGACTATGAAGCTGGCTGTTTTGCTTTTGGCTTCTTCCTAAACATTACAATAAACTCCGAAGTGTTACCATCCATCCCCGTGCACTATATATACTGTCCCTCTCGGGGATTTAGAGTGGGTGATGAGCCCCCACATCTCTCTGAACCCCAACGAGGACACAATAACATCATCAACTCATCGCTGAGCCGTCCTCATCAACCCAGCTTCCATCATCCCCAAGATTGATAACCATCAGCGACTGTTAATTCCTAGCGAATTATCTAATTCACATGTCGTCTGATTTGTGTAAACCCTAGCCCGTGAGGATCATAAAATAAATAAGCATAAAAAGGTTTCCAGTTTCCAGTCTCCTCTCACCTAAATAGGCCGGCTGCTTGGTCTCGGCGTCAGCGGCGGCTCCCAGGTCCCTCAGAAGGAATGGGCGCCACAGGCGCAGAGCCGGGCCTGTTGCTGCTGTTTCTGGGACAGAGGCCACGGGCACACTCATCTGCACAGACACACGAGTCTGTCCATCCCTCCTGCAGGGCGCAGGCCTGGGGAACTGAGATGCCGGGTGACTTGCAGAAAGAAAAGCAAACTGCCCCTTCGAAAAACAGAGGGTGGTAGGAATTTGTAATGATGAGAGGGGAGCAGAAAAGAAGGTCAGCAGCTCCAGGAAATGCAGGGAACGATCAAATTAAACCGTATTATCTGGACATAAGCACGGGATGGCCAAGGGCCTGTGTGTGTGAAAAGGCTTAGGTGAAAGTTCCGGCTGGGCCAGAAGTGGGGCCAAATGACCTCTAAATCCCCCCTTGCCTCTGAAATTCTTCAAGGCTCCATCTAAAAGCCTATAATTCCAAAATTCTGTAATTCATAGATCCTATACTTCTCTAACAAAACAGACACTCTCCGAGTCTAATGTTCCGTGATTCTAAGCATCTGTAATCCAATGAGTCTGTAATTACAAACTGCTGTGATTATAAGTCTATGGTTCTCTGATTCTACCATCTGTGATGCTAACATTCTGTGATTCTAAGATTGTATCAGTCAATATTTCCTTAATCTAATATTCTAACAGCCCACCATTCTTGTGTTCTAAGAGACTGTGATTCTGGATTTCCATAAATTTCTTTTTCTATATTTCTAATGCTCTATGATTCCACTATTCAAGAATTCTGATTCCATAACCCTAAAATTCCACAATTCTGTTTCATGCTATTAAGAATCGAAAGCATTTCTGTGATTCTCTTAATCATTTTTTCAAAAATTCTAACAGTATATGATTCTAATCTGGGTTTCTGACATCTTGCAATGCAAAGGGACTTTTTATCCCAAGTTCTATATTTTGAAGAGTCTATAACTCCAAGCTTCTTCATTCTGTGATTTTAATATTGTATGCTCTCAGAATTTCAACATTTCTGATATTTTTTTGTTTTGTTATGACAAACAGAAGGTTGCTTCATCTACAAAGTGCAGGAATTAAGGTGTAACTGGCAAAGAACCAAGTGGCTACCACAGCTGTCCTCTGAATCAGGCTGCAGCATGTCCCAGGGCCCCTGATCTTCCTCCTCCGTGAAGGGGACAAGAAAACGGCCAGTTTATCCAGCCTGAGCTCCAGGAGCTGCCCCAAGACAAAGGGTAGGGGCCCGGCCCGGGTCAGGCGGAGGAGCTGGCCCCCACGCCTCCGGGAGGCCCTTCCTCAAACAGCCAGGTTTCCAAACATCTGCCAGCGTTTGGGTCCCGATTGCTGTCCTTTAAAAGTATCCCTCTCCCTTTCTTGTTCTCCATCAAGAGCTCCCATGACAATCATTTCAAGCAGCTAATGAGTTTCAGATGGCCTTCAGGAGCCCGGGGTGGGTGGAAGCTGGGGGATGAGGGTTCTTAGGCCGAGTTTTGTGGGCAGGGGGGA